AAAAAAAAAAAAAAAAAAAAAAAAAAAAACGGCGGTTCTCATACGGGACGCCGGGATATGGGAACGCGGCGAGAGTTTTTCCGTGACCCGTATAGGGTACGCGCGTTATTATCGAAATAGGGTTAACCGGTTTTTATTTGCATGCATAAGCGAAAAATTTGAATAAAATGTTTAGACGCGACGCCGCCCGATATGCGCGCACAATGTACGGCATTGCGTTGTTATATTTCCATAATTTTAAGCGATTTCGGACGGGGAACGGCGACAGCAACGCGTTTCGCCAACCCCGCGGCGCGTTTCGTAGTGTCCCCCCGTCAAGTGGCTGTTGCACGCGCGCGTCGGCCCGCATCGTTTAAATTGATCGTAACTGCGCGCGACGTTATTGTTATTTATCGTTTATTATCGTGAAAAATAATAATAATTATGAGACGAAAAAAAACGCCCGTACGCTTTCGTCGGTAGCGAAAAAAAAAAAAAAAAAAATTTAAAAAAATACGTACCGGGATGCATTTCCTGGTGGCGGCGGCGTCGGCGGTAGACCGGAAGGCCGTGGCGAATTTCCCGTCTCCGACTGGTCCGCGCGATGACGTCCGGCGGGCGAATCCCCGTGTGGACGGCAATACAAATACAAATATATATAATTTACGCACTCATATATAAATCGAATATAATACAAATCTATCCGGTATCCGGTAACGAAACGACGACGGATAATTTACTTGCGCGTAAAACTTTTGCGGTAAGCGCGTCGGGTGGAAAAAAAAAATAAACAAAACAAAAATTTAATAATTTTCTTTTGTTGCGATTTAACTTTTTTTTTTTTTTTTTTTTTTTCTCTCTCTCAATAACAAAACGACGCGATATATTATATTATAATATATTATCGTTATACAATATAATTTATATATTGTATCGAGTTATATAATAAAATATATAATAATGGGAATAAAATAAAAATAGTTGAAAAAAAAAAAAAAAAAAAAAAAAAAAAAAAAAAAAAAAAAAATTATAATCAAAAACGTAAAACGGACGTTTTTCGCGGCGGGGGCCGTGTGCGCGGATCGCGTAGTGTTTTTCGACTCCGGGCCGGCCGTCGGTGTGCGGAGTGTGACGTGCGTCGGTGAGTGCGAGCGAAGTGCGTGTGCAGCGGCGGTGTGTGCAGTGGTTGTAACGCCGGCGACAGGGTGCGCCCGAATAAATGCAACTCTCTTTCGGCGCGCGCGCGCGCTCGCGTATAATATGCCGCCGCCGCCGCCGCCGCCGCCGCAATCGTCGTGTATATTATTATAATACGCACTCACATGCACTCTATACTCTCTCCCGCCGCCGCCGCCGCCGCCGCCGCCGCCGCTATCGGCTCCTCTCTCTGTACGCACCGCACGCACAATCTCTCTCTCGCTCTTCCCCCTCCCCCCCTCCCCCCGCCCGTTCCGCCTGGCGGCCGCGCACTCTCGCCCGCGCGTTTCCTCCCTCTACCGTGCCCGCTCTCCCCGCGCCAGACTCTCCCCGTGAAACCCGACTTTCCGTGGCCGCGGCGTGTGCGTGTGCGTGTGCGCGTGTGTGTGTGTGTGTGTGCGTGCGTGTGTGCGCGTGTGCGTGTGTGTGTTCGCACACTCTCTCCGACGACGGCGGCGGCGGCGGGAAAAAAAAAAAAAAAACCGAAAAACGGGTTGGTCGCGGCGCGGCACACGCAACACTCACGCACTTTTTTTCGTCGTACCCCCACCGACGACGCCGTAATATTTCGGTAACGACCCCCCCGCCGCCGCTATAATATCGTCTAGCCGCCGTATACGCACAACACCATAATAATAATAACGACGACGACGACGACGACGACGACGATAGTAATAATAATATTACGTACGTATTACAATACGTATTCGCCGTACGTATACGTAGTGCGTACGCGCGCGTCGCGGTCGTGTTGCGTGTATAGGTACGTGTCGCACACGCATCGCCCGCGTCTGCCGCGAGCACTACAGGTACCCGCGCGCGCGTTATCTCCCTCCGGGCGCGAGTTTTTGTGCGCGCGCGCCGGGAGCGTAGTGCGCGTGGTTCCTACTCTCGAAATTTGTTATTATTATTTATTTTTTTTTTCCGAGAGAAGAAAAAAACAAAAAAAAAAAGTCCTACGCGCGCGTGTGCGTACACACGGCTTTACGCGCGTCGCATGTGCATCGGCGTGCATGTGTGTGTACGCGTGTTCGAGGTGTTTTTTTTTTTTTACTTTTACGACTTTCCGCGCGTATATTATTTTCGTCCGTCGCGCGTCTCTCGCGCTCGCCGTTTTCACACCGCGGCGCTCCGTCACTGGACGCGCGCACGCCGAACAGTATTTCGAACGTTCGAAACTGGAGCGGTGCCTAAAAAACGAAATAAAGTCGGAGGGCGAAAAAAATAAAAAACGAAATAAACGACACGCGTAACACGTTTTCTGTTTACGGGCGCGCGCATACGCCGCTGCCACCGCCGCCGCCGTCTCTTGTCGCGCGCCGGAGTCGGAGGCGGCGCCGCTGGTTGACAAAACAAAGGCCGCGATTCCCCGTGCGTCCGCGGCGTGCCCGGTCGAAATAATTCTTTTTTTTCTTTTCTTTTTAGCGCGGCATACGTGTATAATCGCTGTCGTCGTCGTCGTCGTCACGAAACGATTTCGTGTACGCAATAACGCAATGTTTTATAGCACCGCGTCGTCGCGTCGTATTTCTTTTTTTTTTTTTTTTTTTTTATTTTGAGTTTGCCGCCGCCGATCGTCGTATTTGTCGACGGCACCGACGCGGCGAACAACGCTGATAATTATCCCCGAACGGTCCACCAGCTCCACCCCCTCCCCACCCCCACAAAGTTTCGCGCGTAGGGGTTTGGACGAGAGGCTATAGCGGCCGGTCGGCTTCGAAAAAAAAAAAAATAAACAACATCAACCGAACGTGCGTTCGCTCGGTAATTCGAACCCGAAATGCCCGTTAGGTCTGTTGCGTTTCGGCCGCGTGTCAGTATTCGACTTTTCGCCGGCCCGTTGCCGTTTTCCGAATCCGGCCGTTCGATTTCCACACGGTCGGGTCGGGCGGAGAAAACGAGTTTTTTTTATCCGTTTTCGCGCGATGATTATCCGCGCTACACCGTTTCCCGTCGAAAACTTCCCGGGCACGCAACGGCGGCGTTCACAGGGGGAGGGGGTTATACCCCTATCCCGAATCGGCCTTGAAAAATCAAACAGTTACGAATAATCTAATATCGAAACGCACACAGTTCACAGCCAAGTTACGAGGAAAAGCTCGATGTATATCGAATTGGTGTTGTTTTTTTTAAGCATCCGGCTTTTGAATTAACGATTCCCATAGTCGAGCTGCAGGGTAGATAAGACGACGTTAGGATTTATTCGCGATTATCATTTGCCTACATCCCTTACCATTGAAAATTTCCGGGCACGCGAGGCACTGCATCCAGACGCTGAATTTTTCTCCAGAATTTTAGTGTGAGTGCGCATGTTGTCACACAAATGCGCGCAAAAAACAATTTGGATTTTTATAATTTCTCTTTTCCCAAAAATGTCGTGTGAATTTGCGCGATCAAATTCGAACGGATTAGATAATTTGGCCCGAAATAACGCGAAAGTTCAATGTAATGCGCGGCCCGTAATTAAGTATTCCCCGCAATAATATCCGTTTTCTCAGAGTAATCATAGTTTCTCTGCCTCCTATTTCCAAGAGTCTGACCGTTGTGAGGATTGAGGAATGTATCGGTTTTTACTAGCGGTGGGCATTATCGAACAGCCGCTATCGAACTATTCGAATGGATAAAAAAAAACTATGCGATAGTGTCCATCACTAGGTTTTGCTGTGCGCATTATGATGCGTCTGCAGTTAAAATGTTTCCTACCGGAAATGTTGTTCCGATCAAAAACGTTATTCAGACATTCCCGGTAGCGAATTAATTGATCAGAATATAGTTGGTGCATTAGTGAGTTTTCTGAACAACGGGAAGAAAGGGGACGGGGAAACGTTGGAAAAGCAGAATATTGCTATTTTTTCGTCGAAAATAATATCGCAGTGACTTAACGTTCTTATCGACTACCATTAATATCATTTTAGCGTTTTTCACGACGTGTAACAAATTTTCGAAATATTTTAAAGTTTCGCGAGGCATTTGTAGCTATCTGAAATGTACAATTCGTTTTCGGTATGTTTTACGTGCACACAAATGTTGTGATGCACGATTGTCGGTCACAAGTAAGTTCAAATTTATGTCAAAGTTCGTTGAAACCACGAACAATTCGTTTTTCCGAAGTCACAGGTTAATCAGATTTATCAAAACACGATTAACCGAATTTCGCTCGGATTCGATTTTTTCGTTTGCAACGGTTTACCGCTGATTACGGATAAAAATCAAATTATCCTATAAATATATATGTACGTTCTACCATCCAAACTTGTCGCCTGCGTGCCCGCGGTGCGATTATGTTGGCTTTTTTCTGCTTTTCTTGTTGACGTTTTATACCCGTGAACAAAATTAACAGAATACACTGGAATATTAATTTGTATTAATTTTAATATTCACCGGAAATTCGAATAATTTACCGTGCTGCAGGATTGACATACACAAATTTGCGTTCCCCTTAAATATAAAAAAACAAAACAAAACATATGTTTATAATGCAAAGTTCAAGGTCAACACAACACAACACAAAAAAAAAAACAAAAAAAAAAACGCATAATAATAATAGGCGATTTTATTTATACGACAATAAAATATAATATTATAATTTATGCGTACACTCGTGGTTATTATATACAGGGTGTTCTGTTATTACTGAGTACACTAATTATCTCTGAAAGTATTCATCTTTTTTTCGGGACTCGTTTCACAGAACATCCAAGGAACGGTAAGCAGCTGTACGGTTTCACGTTTATGTAAATTTTTCGTCGCCCTTGTTTTTGATGGTTTGACCGCTGTGCCTCTACTGTTCATTTTCAAAATGGCGACTTGTATCGAACGTTTCGCCAACAGACGCGCGGTGTCGGTTGGAATGGCGCTCCCGGTGTTGGAATTTTCGATTCCCGTCGACCCGGGCCGAACTCGAAAGCGGAATAGGTTTAAGGGATTGGTTCCGGCGCCGAAAACGAGGGCGACCGATAACCGCGAAACACGTCGCGAAGTCGCGCCGCTGCTCGTTCTCGAAATATTCGCCCGGAGCACATTGCGAAAATCGCCGACACTTCCCGGCGCCCGGGACGGCACACCCTGTACAGAATAATACGGCCGACGTTATTATCCATTGTAACGTATCTGCTTGCCATATTACGTGCGCGCGATTATGAATTCTACGATAACTGTAACGCTTTACGGATAAAAAAAAAAAAAAAAAAAACCCAAATTAACCGATAACAAACGATAACGGCGAGCGATTGATTCGAATCGATAATGTTCGCCCGACGGCGCAACGACCACGGGGCCGACGTCGGCCGTCTGGCGCTGATACCGCGCCAGACGGCTAAAACCGCTCAACGGCGGGCCACGGCGGAATCGTCGGTTTCAAATCGGCACCGCCGTCGTTTCAAGGGGGCGCCTCTACGCTTTCACGCGGAATTGACATTAAGTTTTCCGATAAGAATCCGCGTGTTTCGCACGCGAAAAAAAAACAAGCGCACCGAATTTCCCGCTGCGCTCGACGATACGCTCAAGTCGACTCGAATAATAGAGTAATGGGGTACGGTTTCAAATCGAAAAACGTATACGCCACAACGTGAGCCGGTCGCACCCCTCTTTTTGGGCGAGCTCGCGGCGACCGTGGGCGGGGGCGTCTTCAGTCCCGTTAAACCGCATTGGTATTGGGTAATTGTAGGTACAACAGCGGACACACACACGACTGTAATACGGTTGAAGCCGATTGTTAACACGGTGAAATGAACGGGTGATTTGATTACATCGCGGAACGGTATTCATTTTAGAAAAATATAAATAATACGTAACACGAACGAAAATCAAAAAGCTGTCCGAGGATAATGGGGACGGGTTTGGGCGGACACTGTTGTTGTAGGCAGGAAGCTGGGCTGGGCGGGAAACAGAAGGGAATTAAATGTATACCGTTAAGCAACGATAAACCATTGATAACGAAAAAAAGGTTCTGAGCAGTTGATGGCGGTGCTTCGACAAACAGTGCGTACGTAATAACACGGTCTTTGATAGAATATTTGTTTAATGCCGTACCGATTTTCCCGGTTTTTCTCGCGTTTGCTGGGGAGTAAACTCCCGAGGGAAATCGAAAAACGACCTATCTAAAGTATCACACGAAGGAAATTTCCCTTCGGAAAATGGCCGCGCACACGGGGCTGGGGAGCTTTCCGGTAGAAAAAGTGTTCGCGTGAAAAAAACAAAAAAAAAAAAAAAAAAAAAAAAATTATAAAACACTAACATCTTCTGCATTCTTCGCTACGCCCGGAATCTAAAAGTGACAAACGCGCGGTAGCGAAAACGAAACCGACTGGAGGCGCTACGCGACGACAGCTTTTGCGCGGACGCGCGTCGGATCAAACGCACGCGGCTGTTTTTCGCGCACGGGCTCCGGCGTCCGCGGAAGTGTCAACCCGCCGTTTTCGCGCGTCGATTTCGCGGTCGCCTCCGGGCCCGTCGGCCGTGTTTTATTTTTACGCAAGCGCGCGCGCGCGCGCCGGACGGCGGCCTTCCGGCGTCGGTTTTTTTTCCCGGCCCGTCGCCATAACGGCGTTTCCGACCGCGTTCGTGTATCGCACTGTCGCGGTCGAGTGGTGGGGGAAAAAAAAAAAACGTGTTAACCCGAACGTGCGTGTGGGCCTCCGTACCGGCGGCCCGGGCGCGCAACGATAGCGAAACGCTGACCGCGGTGCTGCCGGATTGTACGTTTGTTCGGTGTTTTTTTTTTCCCCCCCATCCACGCGAAACGCCTCTCGTCCCGGTTACCGAACCGACGGCGGACCGCGGACTAGTTCAATAATGACGCCGCGGTTCTCGGTCCTCGGGCTTTCCGCGAAAATTCGACCGAACCACCCGGACCCGCCGGACGCGGCGGGAGTGTAGCCGGCCTTTTTTCTTTTCCTCGTTTTTCGTGTGCGGGACGAACACGAACGGGTCCGTTCGCGGGGCCTCCCCGCGCGCGTCTCGCCTTTTCCGGCTCCTGTAACTCTTAACGAGCCCAATAACGGTTTACGAACGGACACGTCCGACACGGACGTGTACGATCGCACGATCGTCGTTATCACGCGCCATCGAAAATCAGCGGCGCGACGGCTAAAGATTCGAGCGCCACGGATGGGGTGGGCAGGCGCGGGGGCTCAGACCGTTTTGTAATTCCAAGGGTTTTTCGCCGGGATACGTTTATTTTCAATATTATTACGTGCCGCCGTAAGGGTTACAATATTGGCGCGGCCCGGGACGGTCGCCCTCCCCTACTCGTTCATACAGCTACTCCCCTGCCGGATATTCGACATGATTCACCGGCCGAGCGCGTACAGCGACGTATTGTTTTGTGCGCACGTTCAAGGTCGATAAAAATTAACAATACGAAAATAACCGTCGAAAATGTGCCATCAACACGACGGAGACGTGTGCCGTATGAAATACAAAATCTGAAAACGACGAAATTTCGGGAAGTCACGATGAATAATTTATTTTTCTTTTTTTTTTTTTTTTTTTTTTGTTTTGTGTTTTGTGTTTTTATCACAGAACCGCGAGTGCGCCGCCCGCAGTCACTTATTTACCAATTATTTACAATATCGTTTGCTGTGTGGTTACCAAAAAAACCTGAATTTTATAACAATACTATACGACGAAACACCGTTCGGTTTTAAAACGATTTTCGGGCCCCGCGACTTTGGTACGGCAAACACCCACTAATAAATTACTGTTGGGTAATCGATTCGTTAAGTCTATGCGTTTAACACATTCAAATTTATACTGTTGGTATTTATTTTTTTTTATTTTAGCGCTTACCGACTTTTTTCGGTCATTCCGTTTTTAGGGCCCGCGCACATTTCGATCGAATACGTCGTATTTTGTTTTCAGCCGTTTATTTTTAGGCCAAAAAGAAACCTATGTTTTCAATGATTTAAAAATCTCTTTTCGTTTCGGGCGTCGAAACAACGGGTTTTTTTTATATTTAAAAAAATAAAACTCGCGGAGAAATATGTCTAGAGGGGAGAGGAGAGAACATGTGTAATGACCGTGATTTTATTTTCGCGAAATCATTTTTAATTCGTCAACGCAAATGCCTCTTCTTGCCCCCCTCGAGACGTTTACGGTTATGTAATTCAGTGGTTGAAAAATAATAAAAACGTTACGGTAAATTATGGAAAATTTAATCGAGGATGGAAATAACGCAATCGACCGTATTTGGTTGATTTGTACATTTTTCAAATTTTCAACAAAATCTATAATCAATGTTTATGTCGGCGACGCACCAAAATGTACAAACCGCGTACAAATATCTTCGCTCTTTATGATGACGACATCGAATTACGCGTGTTGACAATTATTTATAATTTTTTTATTTCTTATAGTTTTTATTGTTTTTTTTTTTTTTTTTTTATTACCATTAAAGAAATCAAAGGTCACGGTCATGATAACGCGTAAACAAGATTGTAACAAATAAAAACAAAATCGGCAAATTATGAAAAGAACAGCGTAGACAACTGTTAGGTAAATATTTTACATTGTATTTACTTGAATACAATACGCATATAATATTATTATTTTATTATTTGTTTATTTATTATTATTTATTCGTGTTATTATTTTACAATATTATAACAGTATAGAAAGAACGGCTATCGATTATCATTTTCGGAATTGGATTTTAAAAATAAAATAAAAAAATACTGCAGAATAAAACAACTCGACAATTATGTACAGCGAAGATGTGCTGTAAAACCCAAACGTGACGACGGTCGTTTGCATTTAAATACTCCGGAAATTCGGGGAAAACCGGTAAACGTCCAGCATTCTTAAGAAAGAAGAGAATTCCGAGAAATGATCTAATAAAAATTCCATAATAAAATCATTTTGGAAAAAAAAATAACGGTGAAATACAGCAAAATTGTTTGCGCCAATAAAACTGAACCGAGAACTAGCTGAAATACCAGATTTGAAAACAGGTCGCGGTATTAATTTGAAAAGAACACGCCGAAATGGCTATACAGCTAGCCATTTTTGCACTGCCTTTAAATGTTACTCAATTTTATTGAGAGTCCGAATCGGGGGGGAAGGGGCGTGGCGTGGTTAGTGGATTGTACCCACTCTGGGAAATTTCTCCGACGAAAACTTATTAAGTTTTTAAAAAGCAATAATTATACCTACACGAACATTTTCGCTGGCTACGTCACCGTCTCACTGAATAATATATTAGAATATTATTATCATCATGCGTGGTGGAGGGCGGAGGATGGGTAACCCCTATTGTATAGCTACTGTAACGGACACGTTATAAATGCATTTTTGTGCGATTTTTAACACGAAATCGTCCGTGACGTAACCGCGGACGATTTACTCGAAGGAAACTTTGTTGAGAGGTTGACAAATTTATCATTTCGCTATTGCTTACACTATAATAGTGTAACACGAGTATATATATATATACTTGAGCCATGTTCGTTTTGTGTTTGAAAAATAAAACGGTACTGTCCCCGTTTCCGAATCCTAGATCCGCGCCTTAATAGTATTGTGTGTCACCGATACCGCAGTGCTATTTTTTCATTCTTTCCCATAAGTACATTTGAAACATTGGCTTTGCCAACATAAAGGTGGAACGTTTAGTCTTCATAGCATAGGCGACTAACGCGTTGGCGAACCAGATTTGCTAAAAATCGATCGAAATCAGTAGTTCGATATTCCGTGTGATGCATTCCTATTTGTTTATCGTCGAACAGATTTCGGTGTTTGTCCTTCTGGCAATACCCGTCCGTCCATATTTAAGGTGTTGCTTGAGCAACACTTGGACCCTACACGCTACACGCCGCTGCAGGTTGACGGATTCCGTCCGCATGGTTGTACACGGGCGTGAGCCACCGTCAGCGTCCTCTCCGGTTTTCTCGGCCGCGGTTCCCGGTCCGTTACCCGTCAATCGCTCCTCTACGTACGGGT